AGCTGTACTAGAGTTTTATGCTAACTGGATACAAAGTGTCACTTGAAAGAGCTCATATAAAGAACTAAAGAATATATCCTATGGCAGACACCATCTATTCTTAGAGGATAGGAATGTATACTGTTCATATCAATGAGTTCTTGAAGAATTTCAAGTACACTACAATTGACCTAGTTCAGTTTTTTTAAACACATCACTGAATACAAATGTTCAGATCACTGACTTTTCATCAGTTTAGAAAGTTGTTTGTAGAGCTGGTTAGCTCAGTTATGGATTTTTTTCTAATATAAGAAGCCAGCATAGCAGACGTGTGAGTTGTACTGCACAGCTAGTTTTAACCAGCAATGTTAGTCTTATATTTTGCAGTATTGAGAGTCCAAATATGCGCAAAGGAAAATACAGTCCACAAACTGTCCTGAGGTTCTATCATATCTGCAAAACTAAATATACTTTATAAGAACAGAATGTCTCCCTCAGATTTTCAGCTCTAATCTCCCTCTAGAGACAAACTTTAGCAACTGATCTGTGGTCTCATTCAGGCCAGGCTGTGCTTTTTTTAGGTGCCTGGGCAAAGATCTCTCCAGTGAAGGGCTTCAGTTCTGCAAGGAGAGAAAGTGAGGACATCTGAAACTTAACCTGTTCATCCTCAGTCCCTAGAGAACCATAAAAACACAGCTTCTCTTTAATGAAGGTGAAGTCACCTGCATATTCATGGAAAGGATGTAGTCTTCCTTCTCCTAGTCACTGTCCTGGTAGTAACTGTGTCCCATTCGCTCTGCTAAACCTCTCAGTGTGTTGCTGTGGGCTTTTTTGTGAAGTATCCCCCTGTCAGATTTGCCAGCAGACTCTACCTGACGCTTACTGACTGCCCTCCAGACACTCCTTATGTTCCCTCCTACCTGCTTTGGCAGCTAACACGAAGGTTCTTACAAAAGTTCAGAGATAAATCCAGCCCCATCCCACCCCCCTCAAAAATGAAGTTATCAGTCCACTCAAAAACTACTTTATTTTGTTAATGCTAATTAAACTAAAAATGATATATCATCTAGGTAGTTTAGGCCATGCCATTGAACAAGGATAAACATACCAAGGCATTAAAATACCTTGGCAATGTGTTAAGAGATAGTCATAAAATAGTGACATATGTTTCAAAGAACACTGTAATATGCTTAAAAGTCAATGAAATATGGCAGCTGTGGCCCTCATACTGCATTTACTGAGAAAAACTTCCATTTATTTCCAAGTTACTATTACTTTTGAAGAGGTTTTAATCATGAAAGCTGACTTGATTGGCAGTGTCCACATTGAATCTTGTTGAATAAACAGTATGGCACATTTCGCTAATTAATTGGAGAAAACTGAAGAAAAGATTAAGCAAAAGCAATAAGACTTTTTGAAAAGTCTTGATATAATCTTCAAAGCACCATTTAACATAAACTGTGTTTCTTTTACCAACTTGCTCGTTTACTTGTAGCAAGTATGATAGTAATGACTGTCAGTTAAATTTTTGTACTAATCTGGAATACAAAGTCATTGAGTGAAGTCATGTATGCTCTGCATGACTTGTGGAGGCAGTGAAGAGAATTCTTAAAGCAGAAGAGTAATTTGGCAGAGTGGCTGCTATAAACTCTTCAGTGTATGCTTATTATTGTTGAAACAGTTTTTCGGACTGACAAATTAAAGCTATGGAATACATGTTTGCATCATTTTATATAAACTGCTGTAATTCTAGCCACCAAACTGCAGATCTGCATAAAGCATTGAAGAGGACATAAGAAAGCTGAATGACAACCAATTTATATGCCATTTTATTCCTGGATACCACTTTGCCCACACAACATATGTTTTGTGCTGAATTTAGAGGCACACTCATGTCCATTGTGTTGCATTAGTCTAACACAATAATTGATCCAGATATCAAACCTATACAGTTCAACAGAAACAAAAGAGAATGGAAAGAAAAGGCAGACAAAGCTTTATTGCTTGCAAGCAAAACAACAATAGCATATAGGTACTTTGAATGGCATTATTACTGATACGGTTCATTGGGTGTACATAAAGACAGTAAATGCTACACATACTGTAGCAGTGTTCTGCAGTGTAAGAACACCTGATGCGCACCTGAACAAATAGTTGAGGAGGAACACTGAAATTCTGTATGTCTGAAGCAGAAGATACCCACATGTTATTCTGAGATCTCGTTGCAACAGAAAACAGTTGCTTTTGTTTATTTAGAAAAAGCTATCCCCCAAAAAGTATTTGAGTTAAGATTGGGAAGACACTGAGGCAGAGCTCCACTGGGGCTCAAAAAGCTATCTGAGGTGAGGCCCTTGGTACCACACCTGTAATATCCCACAAGACTGATTTCAAAGAGCAATGCCAGCCAAAACAAGAGTAGAGCTACAGTCAAGAGACACCTTGCTGTGTCTTTTGTTTCCCCCAAACATTCCCATGCTATACTCAGCCGCAGGAAGGCTTGAATCAAAAAAGTTGGCAACTGAGTAGTATGCAAACTATGAATTAAAAATGAACAGGCCCAATGAATTGGTATATATAGTTTATTAAAAAAAAAAAATACCAGCGGTGTGTTGTCACTAATACCTGAGACCAGCAGCTAAAAGTTAATCTTTCCAGAGACAGACAGCCTATTGCAGAACTTGGCTATTAGCATAGCATGTTTTAATCTGACTACTAAGAAATAGGGGTTCCTACCATTAGGCTTTAACTTAACTCCTTTCAACAACAGTTCAACCTGTTCCTCACTGGAATCCTATTATGCTTTTCCAGTAAGGTGTTAATACAACAACTCAGGCTTACTATTTATGGAGCTAGTGACTCTTAAAATACACTCTGAAGTAAGTGGCTATTCTTTTAATCTGTGACCTTAAAATTCAGCAAGAGTTGATGTTTTCTTGCTCTTACGTGCTGAGCAGCCATCAGTCACTGATCCAAGCCAGCTGGTGCTGTAGCATTTGCTCACACTGCTGCTGAATATGGTGGCAGCATAGCTCAGTGGGGACATCCACCATGAACTTACCTATATTGAATTGTCTGTCACCCAGTGTCCCCCCCACCAACATCCTCAGTGTGGGGCTAATAATTAAGATTATTTCTTGTTAAAACTGAAGTAGATTAAGCTCAGGAAGATTAAGAGGAATGGTGAGGACAGGAAAAGAGAGCAGAAGATTAACGATGACAGCCAAAATGGAGCTCTTTCAGCTAGATAAAACTTAACAGTGACCAAAAATGGAGGATCAACAAATTCCTCTGCAAAGTTGCCTCACATCAGACATCACAGAACAGCCCAGGGCATGACTTTCTGCCCAAGACAGGGCATGCCCATGAGCTCAAAGCCTGCAGGCATACAGGGAAGCACACACTCTTTTGACTTCAACTCTATCATGACACTTTGCTTCCCTCTCCTCCCAGCCTTGATTTCTGCTTCCTAACAATATTACTGCCTTGTAGCCCTTTAAAAGTGATTAGAAAAAGGGAAAGCATAAAAGTAATAATCAGTAGCAACCATCAGGAAGCAGACCTGCTTCATTCAGGATGGAGTCATGACCTCTATAAATGCAAAGCTATCAAACAGAACTTTCTAGATCACTTAGAAACACATCATTAGTTCTTGTCGCACTGGGACTTAGCTTATTGTAGAAAAGTCATTAGTTTCTTTTCAGATTCTCTGGAGAATTTCCAAAACCTAGCCCTTGCGTTTCCTCAGGTTGTTCGTATGTAATTTCATATTTCAGCCCTTGTTAGCCAGTACAGTACATGCCGTTCCAAGCTTAAATTCATAATTACAGTAGCCTACTAAGGCAAAGCAGTCAGGTGCTCTGCCATCGTGGCTTCCACTTCTAAATGGAGTTAGACAATACCAAAATCATACTTACACCAGCCCTCCACTGAGGTTATAAAGTCTTTGGAAGGCATCTTAATTTAGGGAGCTTGTGTACACAGCCTGCTTGTAACCTGACAATCTAACAGCTATGCTATGTGTGAGGCCATTAAGATTTTACTTCAAACATTGCATTAAAAACACCCTGACCTTTAAATGGAGTTCAGTGGTGGTATTTAGTAGTCTTTTGATAAAGTGTAAAGTTAGTTGTTTACATCACAGCAGCTTGCTGGGCAACTCTCAAAATGACCATCAGAAGTATCCATTGTGTATTTTCTTTCCTGAGTATCATGACTGGAACCACAGCTTTTTTAGCATTTTGTTGATGAAGTCATACTATAGTCTATGGTTACATTATCTTACCTTTTTGCAGGGCCAGAGTGCATACCACCTGTCTCTATCCTTAGAAACCCTAAGCACAAAGCAAAAGTTGACTTCACTTAAAAATAACATAAAAATTCAACTTTTCCTCGGTCTACTACTCTGGACCCAGAGCTCTTCCTAACTTCTTCCTAGGAGAATGTTTTCTTCCCATAGTTGGGCAGCTCTATCTATACTGCGTGAGCCTTTTTCCCAGGAGGCTTTGCTTCTTTGCTGTCACATGGTCCTTTAGGAGGTTATAATTCCCAGACTTTCTACAAGACCCTCAGCTTTTAGGAATGCTCTTTTGGTCCAGTCCACACCTTTTCCTTTTTATATTTTGTTTCTAAGATAAACCTATTCTTGCAGATAAAAAAAGCGTTTAATTCTCTTGCGATTGTGGTTCAACTCCAATGAAATCAGATTTAAAAAAATAATAAAAAGTAATACTCCAGATGAATCTTGGGTGCAAGAGAGAGATTCAGAATGTTCATGTCTCCTGATGACTGGAAGTCATTTTCTCATGGCATTATTGTATGTGCCTGTCTTTTAAAGAATGTAATTGTACCAAATGATCTAGGAGCCTAGAGCTGGGAAAGCTAAAGTAGTTTGTTCAGTTGTGAAAAGCAAAAGATACTTTCACTGTGGTGTTAGTAGTGATATGTATGAGTATAAAATAATGTGCTTTTATTTTTCTTTTCCCTCTTTTAGCAAAGTTTCTGTTTGAGAAATACGCGTTCACTCAGCAAAACAAAAACAACTTTTAAAGGTTGTTCTTGGTGGAGATCACTCTGTGCCCCATTACCTGATTGAGTGAAACCAGACTAAGAACTTTTGTCATGGCAACTTTTCTGCTGGGAGCTGTGTTGCTTATTGTTCAACCTCAGATGGTGCCTTCCAGACCGGCTATAAATTCCAAGGCTGAGTCTTCTTCTCAGTCTGTTCAGAGAGAGATTTTAAAGAAAACATCTCAAAAAAATGACTTCAAGGAAAACATTCATTCTAATGGATCATGCCGGCAGCTGCCACAGACTATCATTATTGGAGTGAGAAAAGGGGGAACAAGAGCTCTGTTAGAGATGTTGAGTCTCCATCCAGATATTGCGGCAGCAGAAAGTGAAGTTCACTTCTTTGACTGGGAAGATCATTACAGAAATGGATTGCAGTGGTATATTAATCAAATGCCATTCTCTTATCCCCATCAGATCACCATGGAAAAAACTCCAGCATATTTCACATCACCTAAAGTGCCTGAAAGAGTTTATAACATGAACCAATCAATGAGACTACTCCTTATTTTAAGAGACCCAAGTGAGAGAGTACTATCAGATTACACCCAAGTGTTCTATAATCACATGCAGAAGCACAAGCCGTATCCATCCATTGAACAATTCCTGATTAAAGATGGTGAGCTCAATGTGGACTACAAGGCAATAAACAGAAGCTTATACTACATTCACATGCAAAACTGGCTGAAGTATTTTCCTCTTGATCGTATCCACATTGTAGATGGGGATAAATTAATCAAAGATCCCTTCCCAGAAATAGAGAAGGTAGAGAGATTTTTGAAGTTATCGCCACAGATAAATGCTTCAAACTTTTATTTCAATAAAACTAAAGGCTTCTACTGCCTAAGGGACAGTGGTAGAGAGCGTTGTTTACATGAGTCAAAAGGACGAGCACACCCACAAGTAGATACCCGGTTACTCGAGAAACTGCATGAATATTTCCATGAACCCAACAAGAAATTTTTTGAGCTTGTGGGCAGAACATTTGACTGGCACTCATTTGTGGCAAGTTAGTGGTAAGCTTCAGAACCTATGTTCCAGTGTACATTTAGAAACTTTAAAGAGGGCATTTAAGCTATAATTTATTTGTAAAATCCATAAATACTTCTGTACAGTATTAGACTCACAATTGCCATATATACTAGTTATATTTTTCTACTTGTTAAATTTGAAAGCATTTTGTATTGTTTTTCATGGTTGTTAACATTGTGTATGATGTGTCTATATGAAGAAACTAAATTATTTCACTGCAGAAGATGCTCTTTTGAGAATGCGTTGTCTTTTTAATAAATAAGAAATTCATTTCAACAGAACCCTTCAGAATTATTTGATTTGTTTGGCCTTTCTGGACTGTTCTGGACTTTCTCCTCTAACTGCTAATGAATATGCTAAACTTCACATTTCCATTTTTCTTGCTTTAAAATGTGGTTTAATAATTTCTTTTTCATTTGAAAATATTGTTGTAGTTAGCAAATTGTTCCATCCTGCTTCATAAAATTATTTCCTGATAAAGTGATGATACTTATACATGTTGGGACATGCACACCCAAAGGACAATGGAAGTCTCTGTGTAATATGACATATTAACTGCTATACTTACCTTTGTATTTACTGTTATAACAAGTGCTCCTCAAATTCTTTGGCAGTACAGTGCAGGTTTCATGGCAGATTTTTAAGGATTCTGTGGGGACCAAGTCATAAAATCCAGAGTTAGCTGCAGAAATATGGTCAACCTGAAAACTTTCTACAGTCTCTGAATGTATATATACTTCATAAAGAAGGAGGGTTGAGAGAAGAATTTAAGCAATATAGTGACACTTTCAAGGTTGGTTATGACTGTTGCTACATTTTATAACACATTTCTGCTTTGCCATCACTGAAAATGAATACTTACACCAGAAAAATTAGTTGGTCTACATTCCAATAAGCAGCAACTTCATTCATATAAATACCCCATTTAAGGCTGCTTTCTATGAGTTGAGCAGGTGCTTCGTGCAACTGAAAATTGCTCATGGACTACTGTTCATTTAATCTCCTTCCAAGAACCATGATGCCAAGACTTGATTAGACTTGTGTGTAGTGGGATTAACCCCAATTCCAGGAACTTTTATAGTCTTCCATCTGCTAAAAATGGAGTGAGATGTTAGTACATTGGTAAAATTTACAGCTCTCCTTGTCTACAGTAGTTATGATGTCTCATTAGCCATCAATTTCTGGAGTTAATCCTGTTTCCACACAAGGCTTACTATGGTACTTTGATTCTGAGCTCCTAATTTTCATTTTATGATCTTGAGTTTAGCTGTTGAATGTGCAGTGGCAACACCCTGTAAATTTGAACTTGTAACAGATTGTTACAATTCTTTATAAAATTTAAATGTATATTCATTAATTTTTTTTTCTGGTGACATGGTGCAAACTTGGTCACTATGACAAGGTACCATCTGGATGCAAATGTCCCATATTATGCTGCTTGCATGAAAATTTGCAGATGCTGCCCCTTTCTCTCCCACTCCTTGTGCACCTGCCCAAGCTGTATTCAACCTCAGAGAGGTTGGTGGTGTTTTATAAAATAGACCTTTGACAAAAACCTACAATGAAATGGTATTGTACTCAATAAAATATTTTCTGAATTGCATCTTTCCTTTCTCTTTGTTCATCAGTTTCTAGTTTAGAAGACCAGAATTTAGGATTCAACTCCAGTTTAGATTCCAGTTAAATGTTACTTAAGAATTTAGCTGCAGCCTAGTGGATTGATTGGAAAGCGGTTTGCTACTGGGTTGTGCCTGCATGGTCCATTGCTGACCCAGAATATACAACAAGGAGGGAAAGTTTCTGGTGGCAGTAATGTCAAATCTTACATGAGGCAGATGCCAAAAATAACAGGATTATAGTACCATCATGCTCCTATCAAAGTTTTAGAAAAGAGAAATTCAGGGGGTTTTGTATAAGGTGGGGCAGTATTTTTTTTCTACAGTCGCTATTATCCCATTTCCTTGCTAATGTGATCTTTGCAGGAGCCATCTGGACCTAAGAGATTTTGGCCCAGATGAAAGGCTTCCCACCTTAGTATAGTCCCACCTTCGCTAGTGCCTCCCTACAGTCCCAGACTAAGCCCACCACATTCACCAACTTATTGCTGGGAAAGGAAAAATACTACCAGGGTATGTGACTAGGAGCCAGAGGAGTACAAAAAGGCAGGGTTGCATCAAGTTCACCTGCAGCAGGTCATACAGGGCATTATAGGACATAAGTGTTGAACTGTGAATGCCACGGCAATGTTGGTACCTGATGTTGGTACTGAGAATACTTTTAGATGTATAACACTACTTGATACCAGTATCTTGCCTGTCACTAAGCAGGACACATGCACATGTTCCCCCCACCCAAGGTGGCTTGTCTCTGTAGAAAGAGAAGCAGAGCGTGAACCGTTGGGTCCCCATTACTGTGTTAGTGCTAGGACCTCATAGCATGTTCTCTGTAGGATCAGGAGATGAAGTGACCACTTCAGGGGGACATCCTGAAGCAGAAGCTCACATGCAGAAAACTCACATGACTCATGCCCTAGACCCTAAGTTCAAAGGGGCCCACAGACAGTATGTCATACCAAATGTGTACGCCTTGTGTAGGGATGGCATGATTGTGCAATACCTTTTCCTGGAGGTTGCACCGCTAGCTGTGTGGTAGCTATGATGGTGATTGATAGACAATAAATCATACCCACACTAATAATAATGGTAACATTTACCTGCCATAGATGCCCGAAGTTCAAGAGTTATAATACTTAAAACTAGGATTCTGAGTGTGAATTTTCAGTTTAACAAGAGCAACATTCACTTTCCACACATGCATACTGTTTTTAAGTATATTTGCTAGACTATTTCTAAAGAAGTGCTAAACAACAACAAAAGCCAACGGAAGAAAGTGAAGCAAGAATGAAAGGAAGAGGATGAAGCACATTCCGATTGGGACTGTAGAAACACTAATAGTGAGCTTTGAAGTCATGCCATATCTATTCATAAAAGAAAAAAATATCCCTGAAAATACCTTTCCAGTGTTAAGCAATACAGGTATTTATTTCTGTAAAACTCTACTATCTCAGGTTTAAAGTACAACCACTTGGGTGTTGCTCCAGAGGCCTGTTTCCTCAGGGCAGCTAGCTAAGTTTGTGATCACTCTTGGCAATATAAAATAAATACAATACTTTATGAGAATTCAATGTCCAATTCAAAGCCTACCACTCCCCTTGAGTACAAGAAGAGCTGCCAATCAAGTCATTAATCAGGGTGGCATTGCAGGATTAAGTCTTGCCCTTTGCTTCACTACACGGATTACCGTAAGTCTTTGAAAGCCAGATATTGTACCTGCAGAGGACAAAGTTTAAACTACAATGATTATCCCATGAACACTGCTGAAAGAGTATGGAAAGGGAAAGAAGTCTCCTAGGAAAAAATCTGCAAAGTTATTACTTCATCAAGAATATTGCTACATCTACTGTTGGTGCTGTATGATCCTTTTACATGTGCTTTGCTGTTACTTGTACCTTTTTCCTGATGTTGTAGGTGAAATAACATCTACTGTGCTTGAATAAATCAACATTGTTTTGGAATATCTCAGAAAAAAAAAAATCCATCCTTTTTTTTAATCTTGCTTGAGCCTATTTGCGTTGGGAATATGGTAGTGCTACGCTCATTGATGAGTGTGTGAGACTTACCACCACAGAATATTTTGGATGAAAACTTCGTTACTTCGGGGCTCAAAGCTGATCATTTCATATTTCCTTATCTACATGCATTTTCAGACTCAGTTTCTGCAGAAAGCCAGGATTCTCATTCCCTGTTGTTATCCACACAGATTTCAAATGTCTAAAGAGAAATAAGATGGGGTAAGGCATATTTCCATGTATCTTTCTTCTGCTTTATCCAGCATGGCTGACCAGACATTTAAGAAAGTTCACACATGCACCCCACAAGTAAGAGGCTGTACATCAAAACTACTTCTCAGAGGAATATCCCTTCTCCTTTCTCTTTTTCAAAGTCTGTGACTTGAAAGTCCTAATTTAGCTCACGTTGTGAATGAAATTTTACAGGAGTGTATTAGTAGATGTTCTCTAATACAGTAATAAAGTAATAAGAAGTATAATAAGGCAAAAGTATTAAACTAACATATGTCAACAGAGTGTGTTGAACTTGCTACTAGGTATATACCAGCTGAAATAGTTGCAAGTCTGTGCCCCTAGAGCTGTAGCATTATTCTTTTCTCATTCTTAACCCAGTAACTTTTATTTATATGACCCTGCCTCAGCGCCCAGTTATGCTGGAAAGATTGTATGTTCAATGTTAATTCCTTCATTTTGCAATTGCATTGGAAAGGCCAGTTACAGATGGAAGCCATGCAAATATCTTATGAGTGAAAAAAACTTTTATTAATATCTTATGAAAAATAAATGAAATTGCATTTATGTCTCCTAGAATATTAGCAAAGGAGAGCAGTACCCTCTTTTCTTGCAACAATAACCCATCCACAGTAAATTTTCTACTTAACTACCACACAACAGTTGATGCAGTTTTTAAGTTAATAGTGCAATAAACGCAACAGTGATGCTGCAGATTTTAAATGCCTTCTGGGATATATAAAATATGCAAGTCAGGGTAGGGAGCAGCTGGATGCACAGGAACAGCTGGTCTCACTGGTCTGAGAACACTTTTTTTAATGATAAGGGATGTGAAATTTTTGGCTTGGATATCACTTTGTGTTGTCTATGAAAGCAATGTCTTCAATTAACTTCCAAGTCAATAATCCTATCATAATGACATCATCTTTTTACTTGCTATTGACATTATGCTCTGCCAAAACACAATTTAAGAGTCAAACCCCAAACAGCAGGTGCATGAGGGATCCCTTAGTATAAAAAAAAAATTGTAATACAACTCAGACACATAGCTTCAATTACGAAGGCACATTGGCTTGAACAAAGTTCTGAAGTGAATGGCAAAACTCTTCTTTACGTAATTTGGATGAGGGTTACAGAAACAGGAACATGTATGCATTCACAGTAAAACAGCAGAACAACTAACATGTCCTCCCCTCCTTGGTTTTCAATCAATCAGTCAGCAGTATTTCAACAATAATGATCAGGCCAACTTCCAGGACTCAACACAGTTCAGTGCAGATAACACTCAGTTACAAAAGGAAGAATTCTTGCAGTATTTCTTACACCAGATAGATGTCTCAGGGTATCTCCTATTACTGAATTTTGT